GGATGATAGTCTTTTTAAAATTCTCTTACATAAAATTTTTAAAAACGTAAAATTCCAACGGTGTGTTAGACGAGGGAGAACGATAGGAAAAAAAAATCCCTAAACGTTAATCACGTGATAGAATGACGTCAAGGTCACCGTGCAAACTCGCTTCAATGCAATAATAATAATAATAATGATAATAACAAATGAAAATCCGGATCTCGGTGACGACCGCAAATAACTTATTTAAAAAAAAAAAAAAAAATTCGCGGCTTTCGTTTGATTATCCAGAATGCGAAAGAGAGAGAGAGAGAGAGAGTAATAATAATAATAATAATAATTTTTTTTTTTTTATCTATTTACACGACATTATAACAATCGTCTCCTTGAACGAGATCAAAGTCATTATTATTATTATTATTATTATTATTATTATTATTAATAATAATTTTAAACGTGTAATGAGATAAACGTGTAAAATTAAACGTGAATTTTGACAACAAAAGTGGAAATAGACAAAAGTTTTAAAATCTAAAATAATAATAATAATAATAATAATAATAATAATATTAATAATAATAATAATAATAATAATAATAATAATAAAATAAAATAAAAAAACGGAAAATGACGCGACCGCAGACGACATTAAAACAAAAAAAAAGTATTTTTTTAATACTTTTTTATTTATTTATTTATTTATTTATTATTATTATTATTGTTGTTATTATTATTAAGGTACTTACGAGATCATCGGCTAAAATAAATATTATATTTGGTTGTTTGCCATTGTTGTTGTTGTTGTTGTTCGAAGACGAAGGAGCAGAAGACGTTTTTCTCGGTAATAAATATAAATTTATAATTATGAAAAATATTATTTTCATATTCTTCCACGTTTCCATCATGAATTCTAATGATTATGATAATGATAATAAATTCCTTTTTTTTTTCTTCTCTCTCTCCCCCTCTCCCACACTCTCTCTATCACTCTTGTCACTTCTAGAATTACGTAAAAAACCTTAAAAAAAAAAATAATAATAATAAATATGATTGTCTTTTACTTTTTTTTGTTTAAATTCGCACGTCTGAAAAAAAAATAAAAAAATTACGTAAAAATTTAGTGTATTACTATTATCATTATTATCATTATCATTATTATCATTATCATTATTATTATGCATGTTTACGTCGATATCGATATTTCTAATAATCGAAATCGAACGATTCATTCATTTAAACACGTTTCGATAATAAAAAAAATTTTTTTTTCTTTCACGTTGTTAGTAATAATGATAATAATAATAATAACAACAAGTTTTTTTTTTAAAAAAATAATTATTAATAGTCGATTTGGCAACGTTGCACGAAAATGATTTTCCGAAGGAAATCCTTTTTCGTGTGTTGGTATTATTATTATTATTATTAAAATTTTATTTTACAAATTACGTTTTCTGAGAAACGAACGTTTAACGGTTTTTTTTTTCGTTTCGTCTCGTCTTGTCTAATTCCACGACGGATACGGATGAGGATGAAATTTTCATCGCGAGGGGGGAAAACGTGGTTCGCACGGTAGTTGATCGCTCGCGATAATTTTTTCCTTTTTTTATTATGCCGTAAATTATTATGAGTTTTTGGGATTTTCCTTCTTTTTTCCCATTTTTCCCTCTTTTAATTAATGACATAATCATCATTATTTCGATTTTATAACTTATTTCTTCCTCTTTTCATCCCACTGATTAATTAATAACAATAATAATAATAATAATAATAATAATAATAATAATAATAATTTAATAAAATATCGTCGATGACAACAATACAACAACAACTACTCTTTTGACCCAACGTATTTTTTTTATTACGAGTGGTGTGACGTCATACAATAAGAAAACTTTAATTCGTTAACGACACGTTTGCTTTTAAATACCCGACAAAAAAAAGCCCGCGAAATTTAAAATTTATTTTTAAAAAAATTTTTTTTAAATTTTTACCAATTATTGTTATTATTATTATCGCATTTTCGCGGTTTTTTTTTTTTTTTTTTGTAAATGATAATTGTATTATCGTATGTTTGATAATATGACATATTCGAAGGAGAAATGAATTATTTACAAAAAAAAAAAAAAAAAAAAAAGAAAAAAAAATTAAAAGAAAAAGGTAAAATGGCGGCGGTGACGCCATTTTCCAAACCTACAATTATTTATATATATATATATAATTTTTTTTTTTTTTTTTTTTTAATTGTTCCGCAAGAGTTTTAATTTTCTTTTATCATTATTATTATTATTATTCGATTGCACCTTAAAAAAGGGTAATATTTTTTATAATCAATAATAATAATAATAATAATAATAATAATAATAATAATAAATTGTTTTATTACCCTAACATTATTGTAATATTACCTTTTTTTTCGGTAAAAGTTCAATAATGTCGGCGGTAAAAAAATAAAAAAAAGTTAATATTAAAAGAAATCGATTCGACCGTGGCCTTTGAGTGAAAAATAAAAGGAAAATTAAAACCATTGACAGTAGTAGTAGTAGTAAAAGGAAAAAGTTTTTATAGGAAAGCGTAAACCAGGGTCGAGTTTAATGACATTCACCTGCATATAAAACATACAAAGTATCAAATTTGTTATTTACGATAATAATAATAATAATAATAATATTTTGAACTGTCACAAAGGAAAAAAGGATGATGATGATGATAATGATAATGATGATGGGTTATTAAGTGTGAATTTCAAGGAAATTTCCGCCGTTTATGTAAAGAAAAAAATGATTGATTTACCTTTTCCGCAACGATCAACCAACCAACCAACCAACCGCCTTCTTAAAAAAATTTTTTTATATTCGAATTCGTAATAATAATAATAATAATAAAATTTGTATTTTTTTATTATTATTATTTTCCCTTTGACTTTAAGTTTAAATTTTATTTTTATGTCGGGTGCTAACGTGGAGGTAGATATTATTATTATTATTTTATTATTAACGTGAACAAACAAATAGGTCACGGACGTAAGTAAGCAAGCAAGCAAGCAAGTAGGAAACAGACGTGGCAGAAGAAAGAAAAATTAAAAACGTGAACATGGGGGGAAATGGACATGGTCGTTGATATTTAATGGGATTCCAATTAGTCAGTAAGTAAATTTACATCTTATTAATAATAATAATAATAATAATAATAATTTTTTATGATTCATAAGGTTATTTTTATTATTATTATTATTATTATTACCATCATCATTCATTAGAATAAATGGTTGTTGTTTTTGTTGTTGTTTGTTGTAATTAATAATTATTTGATTAATTGATACGTTAAAATTTTTTTTCTTTTTTTTTTTTTTTTTACTTAAATCGAAATCATTATCGCCAGGACGACGTCAAAGACGACGACGCCATTTTGAATTTTCGAAAAAAAAACCGCCACTGCCACAATGTTCGCCATCGCCATCGCCATCGCCACCGATCGAACGCCGATAATAATAATAATAATGATAATTATTTTTTTTTTTCATTTGCGGTTATAAAAACTTAAAATTTCATTTCCGCTCTCTCGACTCATCATCATCATCATCATTATCATTACCGCCATTTTTTTTTTGCGCCGAAATGAAATTAAGCAATTATGCGTAGTACGCGCGTTCGTTCGAGTCTCTTATCACACACACGCATACGCACACACACACACACACACACACGCATATATTTTATTTTGATTTATTAAGAAATAATAACCGTTACCGTACGTTCGTTATATGGGTTATTATTATTATCATTATATACGTTACACGTCGTTTGATTCCGAATAAGATTTATACTTATTAATTCATTATTATTATTATTATTATTTCCGTTTGTTTGTTTGTTTTTTTCCTTTTTCCGTTTTTCCTTCCTTATTTCCGTTTTTTACCTTTTGACGATGATGATGATGATGAAAAAATAAAACGATTGAGAGCAGACGACATAAAATTAATTATTACACCCCGTTCGAATTTTTCCCGATAGAATTTTTTTTTAGATAGAATTTTTTCGGATAGAAGAAAAAACTTGTCATTATTATTATCATCATGATCGCCACCACTATTACAACCGCGTTTAACTCCGTTATCATTATCATTATCATTATTATTATTATTAATCATTACGTTACGTTATTACTTAATTACAATAAAAAAAAAAAAAAAAAACTATTTCATTTTGTCTCTGACCGTTGATTTTGTAATACAATCAATCATAATAATAATAATAATACAATTTCACGCGTCTATTTAAAAAAAATTTTTTTTCTTTTTCTCTTTCTCCAGCTCCAGGAGAACCTTGTTCGAATCGGTTCCGAATTATAAAGAAAAAAAAAATAAAAGAGAAAATTAATTTTTAACTTAACAAACTTAATAAACGTTTCTTTTATTGTTATTATTATTATTATTATTAATAAGAATTTGTTATTTGTAATTACGTAACGATGACAAAAACAGTGACGATGATAATAATAATAATAATAATAATATTTTCTCGGTTTAGTAAAAAAAAAAAATAATAAT